TTGTTTTTTTTTTTCTCTTGTGCCAGGTGCCATCTGGGATTTTCCTGGAGGTTTCCCTAGTCCTGGACACTGAAAGTCCCACTCCACTGTGCTCCACTTCCCAGCTTCTGCTTTTTAGAGTGGCTCTTCCGGATTACACTGGGGAACACTTATCCAGTCACAGCTGAATGCACCTTGGGCAGATTGTAAAAGTCACTGATTTGAACAAACAGGCTGAAACCAGGAGCAAACACATTCGTGGTGCATAGATCCACCAACGTCTACTAACTGTGCTTGGGATGAAAGAGCCAGCTTGTGAGGCTTCTGCATCACAGTGTTGCAGGTGCTGTACTCTCATTTTCCTCTCAATAAATTATGCTAGAAATAACAATCAGAGCACAAAATGGAAACAAAGATTTGGGGAAAAAACTGACTTGTCCAGGCCCCGATGCCATAAGCCTCTAAAAGATGTCCACCTAGTTGCATACAGTCACCTTCCTTATCCAGTGGAGAGTCAGACACTGCCAGGAGCTTACCTGGTCTGCGCTGTGCATCTTAGGATGGGACAAACAATCCCTCAGCAATGCTTATTCCTCCCCCATAACCATAAAGGAGGCAGTTAGCCCCATGCCAGAAGAGTGATGTGGCTGATGCTTTATTTTTAATAGAGAGATGTCCTCTGCGCTAAAGAATGCATATACGTTGCTAATATCCTTCCTGTCTTGGTGAGATGGTAACAGTTTAAGGTGAAAAAGATCCTAAGCGTAACAACTACCCAAAAGAGCAACTCCGGACTGAGACATCCAGGTCCCAAACTTCCCCATTGCTGCAGCAGGCACAGACCTCCCTGGCATCTCACCTGCTCGCTGTGCTTCAAATGCTCAAAGAGGTGCCCAGCAGAGGCCCATTCTGACCACTGGACGCCTCAAAGCCACCCTGTCTACCTCTGCTCCTTCAGCTTGAAGATGCTGTGTCTGCATGTCCATGCCTGCACATGCACTCAGGTCCAGCCGAGACTGTGTGTGCAGCCTGGAAAACACCTCAGCTCAGCCAAAATCCCCGGCATCTGGGGAGCTGAGCTGCTGTCCAGGCACTAATGCCTGTGTGGATCTCCACTAGATCTCCTCCAGCTGCAGCTTAGGCACCCAGGGCAATTCTTGGGCACCACAGGTTGGTTTCTGTAATCTGCAGGTGTATTTACAGATACAGGGACCCCGAGGAGACTCAGCACCTCCTCCAGCATCCAGCCACTCCTCAGCCTCCTGCTGCGTACCTGGTGCTGAGGGCAGCCTGGGGAAATGAAGAGAAGATCTGCATGGCCGCTCACAGGGCACAACGCGAGCAGACGCGAGCTCCGTGCCGTGGCACAGATGTCGTGCAAGCGTGCGCGCAGGACTTCAGTGACACGGGACATGTGCCCCGCGAGGAGGGAGGTCTGCAGGTGGGTTTACAGCACCGACGCAGCTGCCACTGCAGCTTAGCACAGGCATGGCCGAACAGCCGTCCAGCTAGCATTTGGCATTTTGTGACAGCACGGAGTTCACTGCAGGCAGAGAGTGTCCCCCGAGAAGCTGGGAGCACTCAGGCAGTCAGCTCCGGTGAGCTAGGTTTTGTCAAGCCTAGACTTGCCATGGTACCCAAGCTGTCTGATTTCTTCCATCTGAGCTGTGCAGAAGTTGCTCTCAGGCATGGCCGAACAGCCGTCCAGCTAGCATTTGGCATTTTGTGACAGCACGGAGTTCACTGCAGGCAGAGAGTGTCCCCCGAGAAGCTGGGAGCACTCAGGCAGTCAGCTCCGGTGAGCTAGGTTTTGTCAAGCCTAGACTTGCCATGGTACCCAAGCTGTCTGATTTCTTCCATCTGAGCTGTGCAGAAGTTGCTCTCAGGAAGGCAGACAAACAAACCAAGGATGAGAGGGCTCAGGGGAATGGGAATTTGATTTTTTTCAGTCATAAGGTTCACTCATTCCTCTGCACAACGGACAAGATGTTTTTTTTCATGCAATGCATCACACTAAACCCAAACGCTTCTCTCGTTCGCATCGCTGCGACTCCCAAATCCTAGCAGCCACACTAATTTAACTCTGTATCTACACCCGTGCTGCAGAGATTGGCACAACAGCTCGCTACCTTCTCTGCAGAGTTCAAAAGCGACCTCACCAGGGCAGGATTTCGCTGGGTGAGTTTGCTTTCCCCCCATTTCCAGCACAATGAAAGAGTCCCAGGGTGGAGGTCAAAAAGCAGTTTTCTTCAGAGTCCACATAAGCAGGTGCACGTTCTGCAGTGGTGATATTTAACCACTGGAAGAAGTTAGTGGAGGCATTAGGAACATGCTGAATTCTCCAGCTTTTGAGGTTTTTTAGCATTTGACTGAAAATCTTTTTGGAAGATGATTTGGATTAAAACAAGCTGCTCGGTTCAATACAGTGTATGTTAGTGGTCAGAGAGAGCATATGGTGTAATGACCGGTCTAGAAAGGTTTCTGGTATATACCAAATGTAGTTTCCACCTGTTTCCCTATAGGACTGTAAGCCAAGGTCCACTGAAAAACAATATTGCAAGTGTCTTTGGATGGGGGCCCAGGGCTGACGTGTGGCTTTTAACAATGACAGTGAAGGAAATATTTCAGAAGTAGTATGTAAAGGGTATGTTAACAGTATGCTAAGGAGCAGCATTTTAAGTATTCTCAGTGATTTCTCCCAGATCTGATTCGTTTTCCTCCCAGAAATGGTGGGGGGTAAGTGCAGGTGGCAGCTGCACACACAGCTTGTCCAGGAAAATGTGAACAGGCTGAGGAACATCGTGCCCAAAGCAGGACTGGAGACCAGCAGCATGGAGGGAACGGTGTACATGAAACAGCATATCCTCTCAGCACGCTCGGACAGAAAACTGTGAGCTCGCAGGACCCTCGCTCTGACCCACGGCTCGCTTTCCATGGTGCTATGTAGCCTTCAACAGACTTTACTGCCCGCAGCAGGGAGTCACAGACACCTGTGGGTGCTGGTCACCTGCTGAATGGGTCTCGGGTGCCACCGAGCTGCAACCGCTGCTGTCGGACTGCTGCTGCTCACCACCACCGAAAGACGGGGCCGGATCCTGCAGTCTGCTCTGGTGTTTGACCTCTGTGCTGCTGCAGCCAGACCCTCTGTACCCCATCCCTTTGATTTGCGCCCACCCCTGTCCTCCCCAAAGCCCCTTTCCCACCTTTGACCCTTCTCCTGAGGGTTCCTTTATCAGTTTTGCATGGTCCCATAAGACCCTCAGATATCCCAAATCCTTTCATCCATCATTTCCCACTTCTTATCAGCTACAAAAGCCAGGCTGACCCTCTCCAAAGCTGAGCTTGGAGTTTCTTAATGGCCTGTCGGCTAGTGGCTGAAGAGTTTTGGTCTTTGCTATTATCTCCATTATCTATCAGGTTTGTTCCTCTGTGTGTTTTGTGTCTTTCCCTGTTATTTACTCTTCCCTTTGAGCTGCAAAGGTCTGGATCTGACAACCTCAATGAAGCAGATGCTCTCACCTTCCACTTACCCGTGTGGAGACTAGAAGGATTTTGGGAAGAGGCAACAAAAACAACCAAAGGCCTAAAATAATTTCCATGCAAGGAAGAGCTGGGTGAACCAGGACTCTCCAGTCTGGAAGAGAGATGACTGAAGGGGCAGGGAAGGGCTCTGTAAAAACCTGAGTGACTTGAAGAGGACATTCAGGTGTAATTGCTTGCTGTCTCTTTTAATACAAGAACTAAGACAGATTAAATAAAATAGCAGGTGGCAAATTTAAAACCAATTACAGGAGTTGTTTTTCACTCAACAGGATTAAGCTTTGGAGGATTTTGTCAGAGTGAACTGCAAACACCAAAAGCCTGCAGGGGTTCAACCGAGCAGTAAGACAAATCTACAGGAAGGAAAAAAAAAAAAAAATCCATTAAGGAATATTCAACACAAAACAGTGCTCTTGGTTCAGGAAGTGCCAGAGCCTCAGATCAATAGAGGTTAGCAGAGAAATGATCCCTCTGTGCTTGCCATGCACTTACTCCTTTCCTGAACACTGCCCAGGTCGCAGCATCGGCTGGCCAGACCTTTGAGCTCTCCCCAGCAGGCACAGAGCTTCCCCAGGGGGCTGTTCACCTGCCCGAGGAGCAGCAGACCATTCTGCAACCACACCACCTCCCACCCCAACCTAAGGACAGTGAGAGAGAAGCTGCCTGGAGCCTGGAGGGGGTCCATCACTGAGTATGTGGCAAGGAGACAGGACATCGGGCTAGGAGAGTCCATGGAGTTTGAAAGGTGGGAGTCCTTTGCTGTCGTCTCACCCTGGACAACCACGGCGAAACAGCCTCCTTGCCGCTGCACCTTGCAGGGAGGAGTTTTGCACCAGGGGCTGCTCATCTGTGGTGATCCCAGTGCCAGAAAGGCACTCAGACCCTGTGAAGCATCATTTAAAATGTTATTTATTAGAGCTAACACTATAAAGAAAGAGAGGACGGCATAGATAATCTTGCATCCTTTCAGATGCTGGGAACCCTGAGTTGTGCAGGGTGGAATGGGTCTCCGTTCAGCATGCAGCACGCTGTGCAGACTTCATTCAAGAAAGGGGTACCCCATTTTGGTCATTCGAGCTATTATAAGAAAATCTCTTCCCATAACCAGAGCTTCAGCAAAGAGACCTTGACACAGGAGGAAGAAAGAGCAAGCAAGGTGGTGGGGACTGTGGGGCCACAGAAAAGAACGTTTCATTTCTTATCCATCCCATTGCAAATCTGACACATTCTCCCGCTGTGAATACATTAGAGGAAGAATCTTTGTAATAAGAGGAAAAAAAAGCAGGATCCATGTGCAAGCTTGTGACAGCCTGTGAGAGGACCAGCCAGGATATGGATGACATTTCACAGTGCATTTTGCAGACATTTTGCCCAAAATACCTCCTCCAGCAGAGCTGGGACCGAGTGCTGGGTCACTGCATGCACGAACGTGGGGTGACTGCTGTCCTTGGAGGGTCCAACTCCCGCCATGTAAAACCAGCATGGGCATGGGCTTCTTTCAAATGAGCAATGGACAGATGCTGCAGAGTGGGTAAGCCACAAAATGGGGGAACAGATTAAGGGTGCCTGCATTACTGCTACCCGCACCGCAGCACATCTCTGCTTGGCAGCAAAGAGGAGCCACGTAACACATTTGTGTGCAACAATGCCACTTGTGCAGCTGGCATGCAGCTGACTTGCAGGTGATCGGAGCAGACAAACACACCAGTCTCATCTGGCCCCAACGCATGAATGAACTTGGAATGCCATGCAAAGCCAAGAGCAGACGGGACTAGCTCTGCCCACTGGAGGCTTCAGCTCCTGACCCCCAGCAGGTTGTGAGCCTGCTGCTTGGCATCGCCCAGCGGACTGCAGCAATCTGTCCGTGCATGCACAGGCAAAGCCAGGGCTCAAGAGATATTTCTTGTTTAGACCCAACGCTACCTTGTGTTGCATGAGTGCAATGCAGAGAAGGAGGTTTCTCTAGCGTGTGTATGTACGGCTCCTTGCACAGGGGGCACTTGATCCCCAATGCTTGTGAACTGAAGGCAGGTTTGACTGATTCCCTGTTGTTTGGCTGTTCCCCCGAGTCCCTTTATTCAAGGTTTCAGAGACCTCATAAGCAGCTGTTTGTGGACTCGGTGAGTCTGGCTTGGGCTTTCTCACCACAGCCAAAACTGAGCCTCAGCTGTAGCAGAAGCTGTTAAGTTTCCAAAATGCAAAGGGCAGGAATGTTGCCATGAAGTTTCATACCTCAGATGGCACTTGCAGAGCCTGATCTCAATGCTTAGAAGTTTTTCTGTATGGTACTCAAGGGCAAAGTAAGGAAACAATGTTTAATCCCTTCTCTCTGTTCTAATTAATATGTTAATTCATGTGGGGTTTTTTCCTAGTTACAGGAGAGTTAGAAAATCCTAGGTCTAGAAAGGATCACTGTGATGATTTGTTCTGACATCCTGCATCACACTTCCAGAAGAATTTCATAACTAATTTACTCATCAAGCCCATCGTATGGGCTTCCGGCAAAGCATACATCTCAGAAGAATCTCTGTTCTTAGCTTTACGGTTCCAAAAGATGAAGAATTAGTCATCTGTCCTTTTTTATTTTCAGATTTGTAAACTATCAGTGTCTCATTTCATCCAATTTCTGTGTAACTTCAGTTTCCAGTTACTGGGTCACGTTGTGCTTGTGGGTTATACTGAGGAGTCATCACTGCCAACCACGTGCTGACTGGTGGACAATTTTTAGATCAATTCAGCTTTTCTTTTGCCAATCACGTAGTCTAAACTAAATAAGTCCTTCAGTAAGAGACTTGTTTCCCCAGAGAATAAGAAGAAAACTCTCTCCTTTGATACGGACTAGATGATCGTTGTAGCTCTCTTCCAACGGAAAAAGCCTATTCTATATAACGCTGCGAGGTTTGATCTTATATAATGTTCATTGTCAACGCTCTTAAAAGTTTCTGGACCTTCATTTCCCTGGAAAGATCTCTCATTTGCAGCAGTGATTCTGTTGTCGTGCAGGGATTCAAGGGTTTCCATTCAGGAGAGATGTAGCAGCAGGCATTGCGTCTCCAGCTCCCTGTCTCACACACAAGCACCGGCTGTCTTGTCCAGGCTCTTCCGCATGTGGAACATGGGGGACTCCGCATTGCCACAAGATTTAGTCCTGCAGCTCTCTTTCTCTGAAAGCTCTTTCTCTCTGCTGATACCTGAAGTGAAATTTGCATTAAATTTATATTTCAATTTTTTTCAAGACAGTATTCAATTCTTATCTGTTGGATGAACAATTAGAGGTTTTATTGGATAACAAGTTATATTTACCATGAAAAATATTAAAACTTCCCCAGTACTGTAATCCACCTTCCCAAGAGAAAATCTGGATCACGGGGGGTGTAAAAGTCTAACTCACTGCTGGATTCACATGTGTGATCTGATTATGATTTATGGCTTTAAACCAGTAGTATTTAAAACCAAACATTGCTGTTTGGAACTTGTAACGTATTGAGGTAGCTGATAAATTTCAAAGCTCCGTGATGCTTTTGTCTAAATTTTTCTCTCATTCATGAATATTTTATCCTATAGTCATCAATGAAAAGGGAAAAATAATCAGCAGCACATTCATTAACCACTGCTATGAACAGTAATTTATGTAATTTATGACATTTGTATCATCTGCATATATAAGTGCATATGTCTGTTTTCTGGTTTGGTGGGCAGTACACTTATTTTTTGAGGTTTTTTATATTTCATTGTAGATGCTCCCTGGTCCATCATGTGCTTGTCAACAGCTCCAACTCCTCCTGTTACACGTTCATCCTGGCAGGCATCCTGGGGCTGGAGGTTTCCCACATCTGGCTCTCCATCCCTTTCACTTGCATTTACATTGCATCCCTTGTGGGGAATCCTCTTTGTCATTGGGACTGATCCGAGCCTCCATGAGCCCATGTACCCATTCTTATCCATGCTAGCCATCACCAGTTTGGGTTTCTCTCTGTCTACAACGTCAACTGTGATGAGTGTATTCTGGGTCAACTACAGGGAAATCAGTTTTGATGCCCATTTTGCTCAGCTTTATTTTGTTCATTCGTTCTCCTTCATGGAAGTCCTCAGTACTTCTGGCCATGGCCTTTGATCATTATGCGGCCATCTGCTACCTGCTGAGATACTCCTCCATCCTCACCAGTGCCAGGGTAGCCAAGATTGGGCTGGCTGTTCTCTGCAGAAGTCCCTTAGGAGTGCTGCCATCACTCTTCTTGCCGAGAAGGTGGCCCTTCTGCCAGTCCCATGTGATCTCTCACACCTACTGCCTGCATCAGGACCTGATCGAGCTGGTATGTGCAGACATCACATTCGATAACACGTACAGGTTAGCTGTGGTCATCCTCATAGTGGTACTAGACGCATTGCTCATTATTTTGTCATATATTATGATTTGTAAGACAATTGCAAGCATCGCATCCCAGAGGGACCATCTCAAGGCTCTGAACAACTGCCGGTCCCATATCCTGGCAATCCTGATCCTGTACATCCCACGACTGGCTTGCCCATGGTTCACCATTTCAGCAAGCATGCTTCCCCTCTCATTCACGTCCTCCTGGCCAACATCTACCTGCTGGTTCCTGCCATGCTGAACCCCATCATCTACAGCATAAAAAACAAACAGATCCGTGGGGTCATCCGCAAGGTCCTCATGCCAAGAAAGAGCTTCTCCCCATGGCACCACAGCACATCAAGTACTTTTGCTAACTGCCCACCATAAACTAGTGGGATGAACTCATTATACTGTGTACACCATAGTTACTAATTAAGTGTATACTTCTGGGTGAAGATAGAAGCAATTGATACTCAACTTAATTTAAATCATTGTTCATGCTCCTTTATTCTGTGATTTATCACAGAATTTTCTCTGTTCTGTGAGGTGTGTTGTATTTCCACTGCCTACTGAAGGAGTTCATGCTCCAGAAAAAATCAAATATGCAAGATTTTTTTTCTCTTGGCCACTGAGGTTGTAACATATCTTGCTCAAGTATTTCTAATGAGTACTGTAATGAAGAATTAAATTGCAGTCTAGAAAATAACTCAACATGTGATTAAACCTATGTGACTCGTCACATTGTTCGCATTCACCAAGTAATAAGCCATTCGATCACCAGCTATGAAGCCATCAGGAACCAAATAAAGCACAAGTCTTAAATTCCTTTGTATCCTACCTAAATGTGGGTGATTGCAACAGTCTTGGATGAACATTTGCCCACTTGTTTTTCATGGATGCTCAAGTCTACCTTAGGGAGTATAGTCTTACCAGGCAAGCAGTACCTAGGTAACCTCATCAGTAATACCACATAAGGTCAGGATGACTTAGGTAATGTTATCAGAAATATCAAATTTGGACAGTGATGTGGCAGAACTGGGGCCAATGGAGCAAAAAATAATGAGAGGCAGCTTATTTACCTGGGAGCAGATTGACGTGGAGAAAGGAAAGGTCAAAGGCAGTGAAAAGGAGGATCAAGAAATGGTAAAAGAGATAATAAGGCATGCAAGTGATACGTTTGGGGCTGTCCAGGGCAACAGCTGGGCCACCCTGCACTTGACCTCTATATCTGGAGCAGAGCCAAAACCCAAAAACCATGCCATGAGAGTCAAAGCCGTTCCTGTGCTCAGGAGGTCTGGGGGAGGCAGTCTGCTTTCCTGGGCTGATGGAGAATACCTGGGTGAGTGGATCAGGCACTTTGGTATCACCTTGTCAGCATCTGCCCAACACTTCCAAACAGAGTGGTTGCTAAATGGCTTGCTTTAATGGTACACCGTAAATACTCTCAAATCATGAGGCTATGGTGGCCATGTTATAAAGCCGTGCAGATGTGCACTCACTCTCCCTATGTAAAGGGTGCACCATCCATCGCTCCTGCCTCCACGTGTCTGATATGCCCTTTAGCAGGAAGAAATATTGTGCAGCAGACTTGGGGTGGCTGACTCTCCAAAGACTGCCTTATCTAGTAAAATCTATAAGGCACACGTGTTCCTGCTTTTAAATTGTTTTAATGACATGTCTAATGCCTTTGTATACTTTAAGCAAAAAAAAAAAAAAAATCAGTCACTTGAGAGATTAAGTGCCTCTGAGAATGCCCAACAGTGGCAGATATATGAGAAAGATTGTACTGAAGCAGTTACCAGTCTTGATTGTCAAGGATAGAATGTTAAAATGGCAAACAAGTTGATTGTCAAGGATAGAATGTTAAAATGGCAAACAAGTTTTTATAGTTGAAACTTATAATGTCCTTAAGAGTAAACATGCTTCCAGTCTGAGGAACAAGCACTGGGTGCATCCAGCATCCTGTACCCAAAGCATGTAACAGCACAAATTTATCTTGGACTTGTAACCTAATAAAAGAGGGTTTTTTGGAAAGCTGTGCATACTCATTAATCCAGCTGGGAATTGGGATGGTGTTATGGTGGGTCCCCTGAAGCGGGCAGACTCCCTGATGTCTGTGGCATTATGCGGGGGCACATCTGTGAGGGTCTGGATGAGGGGCTGACTCCACACACATTTTGTTGGAGAACTGTCTGCCTTTGTTTATTCTCCGCCAGTAGGTTAAATGTGCCAGCACAAAATGAATTTATACAGTTCAGTTAACTGGCTCAGAGCCTTAATGTCTACTTAGACCAGGTTTCTCCAGCTCTTGTCACATGCAGTTTTTAAAGTTTCCAAGGACTGAGGTCCCACCCCCATGAGGAAGAATTTTTCCTTTATTGTCCAACTGAATTTTCCCCTATTGCAAATTTTGTACCCATTCTCTTGCCTTTTCACTTCTCATGAGTCTGACTCCATTTTATCTGTAATCTCTTTCAGGTATTGGAAGACTCTAATTAGAAACCTCTTTTGCCTTCTTTTCTTCTGGTTAAAAAAACCCAGTTGCTTCAGCCTCTCCCTGTACATTGTGAGCTCCAGCCACCTGACCATCTTAATGGTCTCACCTGGACATGCTCCAGTATATCATCACTTTTGCTTGTATGGAATGACCCACAGCTGGACAAAGTACTCCAGATGCAGTCACACACTTGCTGATTAAAGGAAAAAATCTCTTCCCTTGACCTAGTGTCATGACCCAAACTGGATTGTCCAGAGAGGATCACGGAGGTTCTGTGATTCCCTTGGGCTAAATTAAGGTGAAACGAAACTAAATGATCAATTAAACACTTTATTGACAATAAACACCAACCTGAACTTGGAAAGCACCATGATATGCAGGGGATAAGGGGGACCCTCCCGTTGAGTCACGAGGTTCAGAACAGACCCCCTTGCTTTCTAAACTCCTTTCCCGGGAGGAGTCCGGGTGCAGCTGGGTCTGATCTTGGTCTCAGACTTAGTCAACGGTTTATGTGAATAAGGAGGCAACCCAAACCAGGAAAGCACCGCGGCAGGCAACGTGGGTTCTAATCCAAATACTCATAAGAGGAAAGGAAAAGGAAGAAAGAGGAGAGAGAGACATCTCACCACCCTTGGATCCCGCAATGACGACGATAAATGCAGCAGTCCTCCGGCGCTGGGCACGCTGCTCTCGGAGCGCAGGGCCTCCGGCTGCGCCGGCAGTGCGCGGGGGAGGCTGGTCCGGAGCAGCAGCAGCAGCGTGGGGTCCTCTGGGGGTGGGGGTGCACCCATGGCTCCTCAAAGTTGTGTCTTTGATAGGCCAGTCCCCGTCTCTAGTCTCACCCCCCTTGAGGCTTGTTCCAGAATGTTCTCCATCTTCTGCACAGGCACCACTGGGGGGGAGGGGGGGTTGCAAGGGGTCTATCAAGGATCTTTCCAGTGATCATGAGCCCCTTCCTCAAATGAATTCTGCATGACCTTTGGCCATCAGAGAGTGGAAGGAACTGCAAATCCTCCCAGCTTCTGCCAACTCCCCAACTCCATGCCAATTGGCTTCCCACCTGTGGTGCTATGCAGACCCCAATTTATCACCATGGGAACCTTAACTTGTCTCTATGCAGAGTTACCTTGCCTCACCACGTTTGAGACATTAACTCTTTCCGTCCCTGACACTGGTTGTTGCACTCTCACAAATGTGGTCCAGTCCGCAGTTGGTCTTCATTGCTGCAAGGGCACACCAAGGACTCCCGTCCAACCTGCTGCCCACCAGGCCCTTTCTGAAGAGCTGCTCTCCAGCCAGGCAGTCCCAGGTGCAGGAATTTGCATTTTTTTAATGAACCTCATGGGACGCAGCTGAGAATTTCCAGGTGCAATTTCCCACTGTTTAGACAGGGCTCAACCCTGCGAAGTGCTAGGTGCCCGGACCAGACTTAGTGGCTCACAAATGCCCCACCAGAGTTAGGTGAGTGCCTAAGCACTTTAAGCAACCCGCCTCCTGAACCCACATCTCTTTCCATGCTTCACATGTCCAGGTAATGAAGTCACTCAACTGCAGCAACATCAAATCCTGCGAGTCTTACTGTGCTCCAGGGTGGGGGGATGCTGAGACTGGCCATGACTCCAGCAGCTCCTCTGTAAGGAGCACTTTATTTCAGACGTCTCAGACATGCATATATGCCTTAGTCATGATGACTCACACTTGATACAGAATCAAAAATGAGCAAATTTTAATTCTGGAAGAAATGATTCATTAGCATAAGACCATTATTTATTGCTTTCATGATGTTGCCTAAAAGGAATGCAACAGTCTCTAGTTCAATGTGTATTTGCTCTCCACTTGCACCTGGATTGGGGAGGTTTAATAACTACTGGAACGAACGGAATGGAATGGAATGAAAGTGGAATGAAAGGCTTGGCACCTAAAGTCCATTAAACACCTCTGAAAATCTCCGTCTAAAATGTGAAAGCCACAACACTGCTAACTGGTAAGCTTCATGCACAGAGGGGAAAAACCTCTCAAAGAATACTGCAAGACTTTCTCTAGTTCTTGCATCCATTTCAACTAAGCTGACATTGAAATTAATAGAAAACATCTGTCTGCTTCCCATGTACAGGCAAAGTGCAGTCCTCTTGAGCGGTCGTGACTCAAACTGTCTCAGACTAAGACATCCTTGAGCTGAAGTTGGTAGCTCAAACTTCCAGGAAAAGAAAAGAAAAGAAAAGAAAAAAAAAAGCAGAACAGTTAAAGGTTTGTGAGCTGCACCCACCCTAGCCATCTGTTTGCTGGGGATCTCCTTTGGGAACCAGCCCAGAGACCTGAGTTCGCAGCCTGAAGAAGTGGCTGGAGACTGATCCACCCCATTTGAATCCGTTCCCCAGGACCGCTTGCCTATTTCTGCTCTGTGCTTTTCTGACTGTGATTCTGTGATTTTACACATCTTCCCCCTTTTCTAATGACAGGCTGACCCGTGTATGTGTTTTGTTTTCACAGAGCAGCTTATGCAGCCGCTGCTTATCATGACAGCCCTTAGCATCACCATCTTCCAGCCTGCCAGGCTGCACCTCTGAGGGATGGAGCAGAGCATGAGAATGACAGCAGAGACCTGCCTCAATTTGAATAGCGTCTTCTTTTATAAGCACCTAGGCTGAAGAACAGATGAGCTATATCTTCAAAGTGCAGAAGTTCGTGATGATTTAGGGCGGATTAATGTTATGGTACTCAGACTGAAGCATTGCTCTGTCATCTAATCCTGAAGACAGACCTGAGTGCTTTTTTGAAAACCAGTATATATGAAGAATTTTCAAGCTGAGTACCAAAACAATGAGGTACCAAACATTTCTAGTCACTTCTGAACATTTCAGCCCTTATATGACCACAGAGAATGTTAAAA